CACTGCAGTGACATCATATGAGGAACGATTTTCAGTTAGTTGTATAGAAAGTGTGTAGCAAGCTCATTATTTTGATGATTTCTCGACATCAACGAAGACATGCAGAATCGTTGCTTTGTGGTCAATTGCTCCTAGGGGTTGGGCGATGGTGTCACCATGCACAGATTTCCACAGGACCCGCAGTTCGTGCTAAATGGGTTATGTTTGTGAGTGCAAAGTGAGCGTTGTGGAAGCCGGAAACGATATCTTACTTGTGTTCAGATCGCTTCACGGAAGTTAAAGAATCAAAACTATTTACTAGTTGTAGTAAAATATGTATATGATTGATGACCATAAAGATTTTCCATGACACGACTTGTAACATAACGATTTCTTCCTCGGAAGTGAGGTTGTGGTCGAAGTAACAATAATATTGTAAGTAGTATTATATTTACACTCACCTCGCTGCCACGAGAGAAATTGTTATGTTATAAGCTATGTTATGCAAAATCCTATTGGCCATCAATCAAATACATATTTTACTACCAGTAGAAAGTAGGTTTGATTTGTAACACTGTGAAAACAAACCTAAATAGCATTTATCCTCAGACTGGCGGTTGTTCGCAACAGGGCGCCGCCATTTTTGAAAATCGTAAAGTGACGGGCTAAAGTCTGTTAAAATTAATGAGATTATGGTTTGTTTTCATCAAGTTAGAAAATGAAAACTACTTTCTACTTGTAGTTAAATATGTATTGGAATCATAACCAAAAGGATTTTGCATGACACAACTTATAAAATAACGATGTCTTCCACGGAAGCGAGGTGGGGGTCGAAGTCACAAAACTGCGCGATAAATTTCTTGCTTCATACTCATGGTTAACGTCCACTCACCAGTATGTAGATACTAGTCACTGTACGTCTTTATGTTTGGTCTTATAATCCTAATTAGGTTATTATCATACTTGTATGCATTTTGAAACTAAATAAAAAGCAGACGATCTGCTGATACTTATAGTGCATTTATAGCAGAACTGTAATATCTAGACATTTTATAGTTTGCCAATGTGAATCATAATTCGCACACACACCCTAGCGTATGTTGTCTGTCTCATTACACTTCACGGCGAAAACAATGATTCTGTTGAATGCTACGACAAATGAATATAAACAAAATGCAAATATTAAAATGAAAACAGATTTAAAGTTATAGGAACAATGTCAGGCTATTACCTTGTTCGAGGAATGTATCCATCAATATCCACAAAAACAAGTGATATGCCATTTATCTGCAGCTGTTCCAAGTGATGTGTCTTTTAACAGTTTAATATATGAAAAAGTGATAAATCTTTTCAGGTATTTCACATTGGTGTATAGTCTCATTGGTCACCCAAGATCGCACCCTTGGCAACTAATTGCATAATGTCCGCCTTTCTTTAAAAACAGTAATTTAGTTAGCCAATAATGAGCAATCAATCAATGTATTGCCAGTTAATCCTTTGAAAGAAGGACGTTGTTTTTACGCAGACAGCGACACGACAGAGTGTATTCAGTATAGATTAGTAAATCTACCTACATAAACACTACCTTTTGACAAATCCGCTGTATAAGATAAAAGTAATTAATCAATCAGCGTGTTATCGGTTAATCCTTTGATCGATGTTTACAATGTTGAATATTTACTCCAGACACAAGAAATGCCAAATGGGAACCTTTGTCGGGTAATCTAAGTGGTGTTACCACTAATTATACCTGTTATAAATTCATTAACTGACCGTCAAGTGAATGATGACAAATAACATGTGTAGGTTTATACCACCTAACACGGGTTACAACAAGGGTGTATTAATTGCTGTATTGCATGTGAAAACTTATGGGCCGACACTGTTTTGATAATACAAACACATTTTTACATGACATGATTAAATATCGAGGTAAAAAAAACACAGAAATGGGATCAATTTGGATCAGTCATTATACAAATAAAGCCTAACGACACCAAGCGATTATGACAGAATCGCCTATGCAAACAAGTTGTAACTCGGAAACTAGGCAAAGCAGGAGTCAAAATTAAATGACAGTAGATTGTGAGAACATATAGCTTTCATTTTCCACAACAGTTGTCACGATTTCAGGTTTATACAAACCTGTAAACAAGATAATTTACCCCCTGAAATGTAGATGAATTCTGCATCGGCCCTCATATCTATAACTCATATGGCGACATCCACAGAGAAACGCTTTGAGCAGCTGAGCTCTGATTGGTTGAAATTTCGTTCGCGGGTGAGAATTGTGCCCTGTTGTCAAAAAGGTTGATTTAAGTTAATTAAAGACCAAAGTGAGTAGTTTTAATGACGGGGTTTCATTTATAGCAATGCCAGTTAGTGATTTATGTATTTGTACCCCCCTACAGTAGATGTGATCTTTAAGGGGCAGAGTTAGACAACTTGGTTGAAGGACCCCTGAACTATCTGTGCTACTGTGTTCTGCTGAATTTCACTTCTTTATACATATATCTGGTTTTATTATGTAAGCATATTTTTCCGGCTACCTGATTGGTCTAGAGGCGGTCACGTGCCTGTCGACAGAAAGGCATATTGATTCCAACCCAGGTCCGACCAAAAGTCATATTGACTTGAGTTACTTGAGAGACCCAGATGAGGACTTCCCTATGATTCAACCAATCAGATTGCTTTGCTTGACCCCGTTACACTTCAATTGTTAATGCCGAGATGACAGATAGTAAACAAACTCTTTTTACGGAACTTTCAGTAACTGAAGAAAATATCATTTTTGAAAATGTTGATGAAAAAAACACCCAAGAAAGCGACTTCAACGGCGATACATGTTTTCAGGGAATATCTTACCCATAAAGGAAAATCTATTAAATTTGAAAACCTCGCCCCTGAAGATTTAGATGCTGTTTTGTCAACATTTTATCTCGAAGCAAGGACCGAAAAAGGAGACAGATACAAAAAACCAACGCTTATGGCCTACAGACATGGTATCCAGAGACACATAAAAAAAACAAGACCTTAGATTGACATAATAAGAGGCTCAGATTTCAAGACATCAAGCAAGACTTTCAAGGTGATGGTAAAAGAGTTGAAGCTCATTGGATTCGGCGAAGTTAATCATCATGCCCCCATTACCAACGCAGATTTGATGAAACTGTACCACTACATTTGCAGTGAGGACAGTCCTGTATTTCTTCAATACAAGGTGAATATATAAATTCCAAAATCATTACTTTCTTGTAATCAAAATGTTTTTAGATGCACAACACGCTTTCACAATGTAGATAGTACATATGACAATTATAATGAGTATCAACATTGCCCATTGAGTAGGCTTACGCTACTCTGTAGATTTAATGCTACTGTAGATTTATAAATCTATTGGGCCTAGGCCTACTGCATTTCATCAACTTCAGGTATAATCTATTTTACAAACAGGTGGCAAGGCAACCACAACTACAAATATCAAGGGACGTCACTCTCATTCAATTTCCTTCGGGTGTGGTTTTTAGTCTTAGATAAGAGCTTGTTCAAAGGTTCAAATCCACAAAATGTTACATTTTTATGTATTTTTATTCAACTTTTTGTCTATTACAGATAATACAAGATGCCCAGTCCGTTCTTATGTGAAGTACATAAGACTGCTGAACAAAAACTGCCCAAAGTTGTTCCAACAACCGAACTCGAAGATGGAAAATAACCAGCATTATTATCCCATTCCCCTTGGCCACAACTGTCTCGGTCCAATGATGCCAAATCTGAGCAGGGCTCTCCATGAAGTATACCAATCACTCACTGAGAGCGACAACAGTTCACGTCTTGGATGCAGCTCAGGTCCCTTCCCGTCATATTATGACAGTAACCGGACATAAGTCTGAATCTAGCCTAAAAACATATACTGGCTACACTGATGAGAAAGCCAAGATGAAAATGTCAGCAACCATAGCTGAGATGCTGTCCCGCCTGCTGGCAATATCAATAACTTTCTGAATGATGTTGACTTTGACAGACTATTGCAAACAATTGATGTTCATGAAACTACTGACTCTGCACTTAGGCCTAATGTGCAGGTGCAGAACAGCATGGTAAATAACTGCTTGCCTGTAATGCACAGCTGCAATGTTAACATTAACTACAATTTCTACCAACACTATAAAATCAGCTTTGTTTTAACTGCTCTTGTGATGGATATTGTACCATGAATGTTTATGTAAGGGTGTCAAGCTATGATGTCATTCTATTGTTATGTAGCGGCCCTAAAACCTTCTGATCCGAAATCGGACGCCTTGTCCACATGACCAAAGAGGTTAACCCTGTCAGCATGCTGACAAGACAAGAATGTGATCTGTGGGTCATGACTCCACACCCTGCTATATTTACATGTCACAGTATTGTTGACATAACCTTATTGGTTTGTAGTGAAAATAAAACTTTCTTGACTAAATGGACATGTTTTGGTTTTTAGAAGCTTTTTTTCGGTAATTACATAATAAAACAATTATGGACTGGTGAATTCGGTGAATACCTGTTTTTATGGACCCGCGAACAACAATATTGACCTCATCACCAGTCAATAATTGTATAGTATTGGTTAAAATTATTTGATTACTAGATTTTTCATGCAAAGTTTAAAGAATGGGAGATGGGAGTCTTTATGTTATAGTTTATGTATTTTTAAAGGAACTTTTCAAGGCAAAAGTGTGCCAAAGCAATTGATTTTGTGATAGACAATTTGACAACTATGCTTGACAAGTTATGCCATTTGTTATGGCCACATGCTGATTGTGGATTGTTGTCATGCCTGACAATATTTTAATAATTTTATGATGTAAAGAAACAATGCAACACATGTTGCATAGCAATTGTCTATTGTCTTGGTGCACTTTGGGACAATAAAATGTGACATGGGTTGTTATGAAAATCTAATGATTCATTACTTGCAAATAAACTAATCTTAGTTTGCCTGTAAAATTTTGTATCATAATATTGTGGGTTTTATGTTTCAGTGTGGCAATGGATTTCTGTATCAAGGTTGGCAAAATGGACATGGTCAGCTTTCTATGACATGTCAGCAGTGTTTCAAGAAAACCTGTTTCCTTTGTAAAAAACAGGTATTTTATTTATTTAATTGTTGCATGATGGTGTATGGTGACATACATGAATACAGTTATATTTTTACAGGGTTAGTACTCTCTCTCAGGGTTAGTACTCTCTCTTTCATGATTGACAGCTGAGTGAAAATGAACTGCAAACAAAGTTTTTGGCCTCTCCTGTGCCATTCACCTGAACACACCCCACTGCCCCCATTCCTGGACATCCTGAAGCCTCTGTGAAGCATGCAGCATGCCCTTTGGTTGATCATGTGACACATTTGTCTAATCATTCTCTTTCTTGTCGCACTGCTGTGCAGACATACTGTTTTTTAAATGACATATTATTGAATTCATCTACAACTATAGGAAAGTATAATTCTTTGTCTGAGAAGAGGGGAACTTGTCCTCAATGCAAGAAGGTGTTTTTACAAGTCCAATCTTCACCCTTGTGTGCCTGGACTTCCAGATGTAGCTATTATGGAGATCTGGATGATGATAATTTCTCCATCTATAGAAAAGCAGGGACCAGATGAACATGGTCCTTTGGCCAAAAAAGACAGGCCTATGAAGAAAGCTCGACAATTGTCCTCTTCAATGACGAAGTACGGGGATTATTTGGATACTCCGTCTGACTGCTACTTGAGTGAAAACCTCCGCCGTTTGTTTCAACCCCCAGGAGATACGACCCCGGTGATCATCAAACCTACCCTTCTGTCAAGGGTGGTTGTGGTGCAACATTACCGAGCCGTAATGAACCTTCAACAAATCCTCCAGATACGTCGATCACCACCTTACCTTCGCCAGAAATCTCCATACAACTTTCAGCTGTACACTCGTCGAACCTTCAGGATCAGTCTTCTTCTGCATCTGTTTCCAGGATTTTACACAGACTTTGAGAAAAGAGTCATGATGACTCACAGTATTTATTGTTGGGGGTCATTTTCAATATTTGTGTGTCATCAAAAATTTATTGTGTATATCAGAAAGCAAGAGTTTTGCAAAGATTTTGTTGTTTTGTGTTGTATTGCCATTTATATGTTAGTTAATAAATAGTATATTTTTGACTGTACAATTCAGTCATAACAAACTCCAATATACTGAGGGGTGGTGGGGTAGTCTGGTGGTTAAAGCATCCGCTCATCATGCCAAAGACCCAGGTTCGAATCCCCACATGGGCACAATGTGTGAAGCCCATTTCTGGGGTCCCCCGCCGTGATATTGCTGGAATATTGCTAAAAGCGACGTAAAACCATACTCACTCACTCCGGTATACTGAATAAATAATCATGCTTGTAATTTATTCACTGTAACATACATTTATTAACATGAATTGAAAGAAATATCAAAATTAATGAAGACCATCATTGTTTGCTTATCAAATCGATTTTATTGAACTGAATTCTGAGGGTCACTCATAAAACTTGCGTCAAGTTTGACGTACCTACCCACCTACAACACTAAGTACATTACTGGACAAACTAGCAATAGAGTCTGTAGGACCTTCACCTGACACCCCAGCATTTACTTCCCAATATTTCTCGTCCTGAAAAAGAACTCAGACAAACTTCAGCCTCATCTTCAATATGAAGGTTTTCAACTTCGCTTCCGAATGATCTCAGTGACTCTTCTGCGCACAATCTTGAAGCCGGAAGACTGCATTTCTGCATGTCCCAATTTTCCCAGATCATTGGAAGTTTCTGCAGTTCATTTTCCATGGCATCCCCTGTCAGTGGAGGGTACTCTCGTTTGGCATTTCTATACCCCCATGGCTATTTACCCGCATTACGAAGCCCATCACTCTGTTCCCCAATTGACGGGGCATTGTCTTTGAGGCTTACATCGACGATTGCATTGAAGCCCAAACAGACCCTCTGCATCTACGGTTCACCACTCAACTACTTCACCAACTGGGTTGGATAGTCAACATCAAGAAATCGGTTTTGACCCCAACACAGCGTCTACAATTCTTTGGGGGGCCTTCTTCTACACTCATCTCGGCAAAATGTATGTTCCCCAGGACAGATGGGCCAAGATACAACGCTTGGTACCTCTACCACTGTCTCAAGACAGGTTGTTACGCCAATGGCAGGAACTTCTCGGAATACCAATGTCAGCTCAAGCTCTCACGACCATGGGTCGGCTCCAGCTTCAACATGCTGATCCACATGCACTAATCCGTCTACTTTCTATCTTTCTATCTAACATCTGCGGAGGAGTTTGTTTGATGCCGTTCAACCCTACTCATCACCTGTTCGTGGATGTGTCATGCCAGAGTCTGGATGCTCACCTTCATGAGCATCAAGCGGCAGGGCTGTGGTCACTAGAGGAGCAGTCACTTCACATCAACGAACTCGAGTTCAAGGCAGTTCTCTTGGCAATAAGACATTGGGCGGATCTCCCAATCGACCAATCTTGCTATCTAACAACTTGAGAGTAGTGTGGTACATCAAACACCTGGTGTCAACAGGTTCGACATATCCTCTGAGCAATGCTATTCTTCCAACTGATAGACTCCCTGGGAATCTCAGCAAGAGCCAGACACATTCCAGGAATAAAGAATGTCATCGCCAATGCTTTGTCCCATTTGGACCAACCAAGTGTATATATATGTCATTGGTTTGCTAAAATTGACCCGACATGAGGACGGACTAGATATTTTTTTAACCCGTCCTCCACAAAATTCACCCGTCTCGGACGTTGGGACGGGCTATCTTTCCTACACTGATTACAGAGATCGTTAATCACCAAGGGATATTCCAGACAAGTAACTTCTACTTCCTATCATACTTCTACTCAATCTCTCTACGATAACAAGTGGAAGAAATTTGAAGTTTATTGTAATAGTAGCATGCTTGTAATGCGCTATTTTCCATGTACAAAATGCTAAAAGTGCAAGACATAGAATTACATAATTACAGACACTAAGAGATAATGAAAAACTAGGGATACATGGAATTATTCAATGGATTATTGTTTGGACTCATAGGCTAATCTGAAGAAGTGAGTCTTTAGTAAGGATTTAAAAGTAGAAAGTTCTGTACAGTCATGTAGATATTGAGGAAGTTGGTTCCAGGTTGTAGAGTCTGCATAAGAAAAGGACCTTTCACCATATGTAAAAGTCCTCACTGTGGGGATAACGAGGAGACATTTATCCTGAGAAGAGTGGTGGCAGATTCAGTGGTGAGATATGGTCGGATATGTCCAATAGTGCGCAGTTGAACAAAGCAGCTCTGAGCTAGATGGGAAACATGATAATCCAGTGACGCATATGAGTTGATAATCACACCAAGGTCTTTGACCTTGTCCAGCAATTTGGATGTTTGTATTATCACATTCGAAACCTGTAAGACCACACTGTGATCTTTTCAGGAGTGGATTCACTAGGGATGACTTAAAGGAAGACGGCACTATTCCATATTCAAGACTACAGTCTGTTTGACTAGAAAGTGTCCCCATGAATTGCTAAATATATCAGTTTAGAAAGGTAGTTAAGAAATATTAGGAGGCAAGATGTTCATGAATAACCTATACCCAAACACCTTTTCAGCTATTAGAAATTGTCATGCATCACAGAAACAGTTGTTTAACAAACTATCATCATTATGAACATGATTGTTGACAGTTGGCATGGAGGGGCTCGCGACAGCAACGGGAATAGACAGGGGCAGAGAGTAGCATCTCAAAATTTCATTAAAGTATTTGTTGTGGTTCCACTGACTATGAATCGATTGTTTTGATCAAATTGCGTCTATTTCCTGGTCCCTTACATCATAAAAAAAAGAAACCGGGCTCCGTCTGTAAATCGGGCATTTGCGCTACGTAATGATAGATCGTTGTTAATGCTTGAGCGGCAATGTCGAAATCAAAAGTGAAACTTGTCTGCGATACTTTGGGGGGAAAAGTGGTGCTTGAAAACACGTCATATGTCCATGAAAAGTCCTTGAAAAGCCCTTGAATCTCATGGGCTCTTGGCTGTATGAACCCTGATAGCAGCTATTAATTCTGTAATAGCTACAACAACAGGAAACAAGATCTTGACTGTGACTAAACTCCAGTCTCTCTTGCACTCTGGCAGACCAGTCTAAGAAGTTCCATCCCCTGGCTTGGGATTTGTCAATCGTTTTGCAACATCTAGTTTCCAACGGACTATGAACCTTTGGACAAACAGAACTTTGAGCGCATCACCTTCAAGACCTTCTTCCTGGTAGCCTTGGCTACCGCTGCTCGAATGTCGGAACTCCATGCATTGGATGTGAACCGAGTACTATTCGAGAAGAAGAAACATGGCAGAATTTTTCTGGGCCCTTCGCTGGGATTTTATAGCGAAGAATCCACCATACTTGAGCCGGATGATACTGAAGGCCTTTCTCTTTGCCCAGTTATATCCTTGAGAATATACATTGCTGCTTCACAAGATCGTCGCAGACTGCGCAAACGCCTTTTCATCCCGCTCTCTACAGCCTCATCAGCGGAAGTCTCTTTTACTACCTTAGCCTTTTTAGGTCTTCCCCCTCCAGATGCATTGAACCCTCATGAGACTCGGGCTTTAACTTCAACTGCTCTATGACATCGATTATGGAGGGGTGTTCGGAGATGGTCTTTCGCTTCCCACTATCTACGCGACATCTTAGTTACTGATGTACAAGGACTTCACCAGTTTGGTCCCTTGGTCCTGGTGCAGCAGTTACCATTGGCTCGTCAATGCAGACAGTAACATCCTTCACATGCGAAATCCATGTTACCTGGTATATAGTAAATAAAGATGTATGGAACTCTATGATTCATCTTTATTCTACTTTCCTTGGGCACAGATCTTTCTCACCTAGTTGTACACTAGGGCGTTGAAGTACAGTCATCATTTAACGACTTCATCATAGACTGAGAGGACAGTCTTGTACTATAATGCAGAGGCGATCAACACTCACTCACCCACTCACTACTCTCATGAGCAATCACGTCAGTGAATACCGAATTCCAGTCGATTTCAATGCGTTTGGGCTACAAGTTGCCATTCACATCCTTGACTAGCTTAAGCAAAGGAGCAAGGGTCATGCGATGTCATTCACAACTGAACACTAAAATAATTTAGTTTACCGGGCCATGTTCTTTTTCAACTGTGTGCATGAACTGGGACTTTCGAAGCAGGGATTGTCCAGATTAGAGTCAAAGACTTTAATTCTGCAGCAGTTTCTGGCGAGTCAGGGCAAGATGTAGTGGCTCCATCATTTACTCGGGAGCATCCACTCCTTGGAAGTTTTTGTGCCGAGTTCGCCAAGGGGTTTTGGAAGAAGCAACCCATCACAAGTATAGGAGTAGTCAATCAGGCAATTGCGGCCTCCTTGTCCACCTTCACCACATCACACGGTTGTCATCTATACACAGACACTGGGTGGAAGATAAGTACTAACTGGGAGATAGGATATGTTTAAAAATTTGACATTTTTTAACTATAAATTGTATACAGTGGAAACCGCCTAAGTAAAGACCGCTTAACTAAACAGACCTGATAAGTAAACACTTTTCTTTGGTCCCGGCAAATATCTTCATTAATTATCATTATTAGAGTCTGGTTAACTAAACTCGGATAAGTAAACAATACCGCTTAACTAAACGTCTTCTCACGGTCCCTGGAAGTAAATTACTTAACAAAAGAGACTGGATAACTAAATTAGCGATCACCACATAATCCGACATGAGGGGCACGTGTCAGTCTCCAGTCAAACAAACATCCTACTTACAGCTCGCTGGCGTCATGCAGTTGACAATACACTGACAACTGGAGGCCAGCCCTGATAATTTGTTCATTGTTACATATGCATACATATACATGCATATGGTTTTCATTTGCAGGTTTTTATAAGTTTGGATAAGTAAAATACATTGTACCTGATAAGTAAACAATTTTGGCAAGTCCCTTGAGATTTTACTTATCAGGTTTCCACTGTATTTATAAATACTTATCCTATCTCACGCAATTTATTCCCGCCTGCCTGTCCGACCCTACTACATAGATTACTTTACAGGTTATGGCTAATGCTCCAAGTAGAGAATGATCAGACAAAGGAATCACATGATCAACCGGTGAGCATGCTGCATGCTTCACAGAGGCTTCAGGATGTCCAGGAATGGGGGCAGTGGGGTGTGTTCAGGTGAATGGCACAAGAGAGGCCTTGAACTCTGTTTGCAGTTTGTTTCCACTCAACTGTCGATCAAGAAAGAGAAAGTACTAACCATGAGATTTTTTTTGAATAAGTATTTATAAATATACAATTTAAAGTTAAAATTTTCAATTTTAGACTGATTGCAAGAGTGAAATTATTCAGGATAATGCCAGTTGCCTTTGCTCCCATGAATTAAACTAAGCATTTATGCCTCATTCATGACAGCCTGCCCTACTATTCCTTCAGCCAAATGCAGGCTGGTACCAAACTTTGTCAATAAGTAACATATGTTATATTTGCGGCTTCCATGGTGGCTGAGCAGTCTAGGTGTCTGAATTTGTGTGCTGGCAATTAGGTGCCTGACTCTGAGGGTGTGAGTTCAAATCCCGGATGGGACTCAACCCAACAAAAGTACTAGAATCTGTACTTTACAAAGAAAGTGTAATCCCAAATATAACATATGTTACATTTGACCACTTTCTAAATGGCATTGTGTATTTGTCAATAAGGGTGTGAAATGTGCAGAACAATGTCACAAGATGATTTTCCATTTAATTTGTGTTTCCTGATATGCTAAGCATTGTTTAATGTTCAGAGATAAAGATTATCATGTGTAGTTTGTTCTTAACAAAGCTGAAAATAGCAATCAGGTACATGTATACACAAATTTTCAAACAGGTCTACTGGTGATATCCCTGAGATTTGATGGAAGCTTTGATTGCAATTGCCTGATACTTTTTGTAAATGAAACAATTTGACCAGTCACCATTGAACATTTGTGCAAAACATTTACATATAATAGCTTACAACAAATATGTCTTTTGAAGAGTCAATCATTAGGTTTTATGATATAAGTATCTGGGTCCTAGTCAAAAGGGCCTCAGACCCCAAGTCAAAAGGGCCCCATATAAAACAGAATAATAACATCTTTTTTAAAAGTATTATAGCCAAAGGTTATACATCTTTACAATGTATATTTTATGCTTACTAGTCTTGTTTTTAATAGATATTTCAATGTCTTGTTGCCATCCTTTCAAGTTTTCTATAATAATCTTTGTCAAATCGTGATTGAAAATTCAGAAAGTTCACAGGAGCATTGTATTCCTTACAATGCCAAAACCTTTGAATGTATCTCAACACTATTGGGATGACGCTGTTTTTCAGCGCATTATCATTTGCAGAAGCCCTAGGTCAATTAACTCACCTATCCCGCTAAACTGGATGGAATTTGTGTTTAAAAAGACAAAACAGTATCATAAATTTAATTGTAAGTTTACTTCAAACACCTTGCAATGGGCTGTTGACCCACTGTTAGGTAATGAAACAAGATTTATGACATCATTATGGAGCGTGACATCACCTGCTGTGACGTCATTTGACAACAGAACTGATAATGGCCCGTCGTTGAGGAATCAGTGGCTATTATCATTTGCAGCAGCCCACTCATTTCTGATAACTAGAGGGCGGTTTCATGATAATTCCATCCATTTTAGCTATAACACTATATTCATCATTGTCAGATGTAGTCAGTGTGCATATAATAAATGTGTTGAAGTTTGAAAAGGGAACTACTTTTTCAAAAAAGTTCAAGGAGTGATATGATTAACCTTTGACCTAGAGGAACTTTGACCTGGTTTAAATATGGAATTTCTTTCACGAAAAACAGCGTAAAATGAGTCATACGACAATTGCAAACAGATTATGGCATACAATTATACATTGAGAAGGTGTTACATGGGAGATGTCAGTAGTTCAAGAGATATGTCTATCACAGAAAACATTCTGGCAGCTTTCATGTCCAATCATGTCCTTTACAACAACAGAGTAAGCTCTTGACAAGGCCTGATCAGGAGAAGACCTGTAGGAACCCTTGACAGGCCAAAGCATTGCCTCAAGGAGCAAGGAATATATGCAGTCCAAGCATTGATAAATTAAAACATTAAGATCTAATAGGGAATGACTCAAGAAGGTTTCCATACCTTTGACATGCTTTCCTCCTCTTTGAGGTCATGTGATTGAGATGAGGTAAACAACGCAGACAATGCTTCCATCAAATAATTGTGACTTTCCTATGTTAGTTTTTTGTATTTTTGAGATGAAATTGCAGAAGGTGTTACAATTGTTTTAGTATTTCACCCAGTCCTGGAGGACAACATTTTTTTATAAGTAAATGTTGTTTTGGCTAAGTATATTAAGCTAATATCTTAAGTTAATCTTATAGTTCTCACTATTTCTTATGTGTTTACCAGTGGGAAGATCAGCATGAAGGTCTAACCTGTGAAGAGTTCACACAGTGGAAGTTTGACAATGATCCAGAAAACCAGGCTGTTGGACTTGCTAAGGTACTGGAAGAGAGTGGGATAGGTGAGTATCATCAAATATTGTTGTATAAGGTGAATGGCAAAGATATGGAGGGTTATGTTCAAGCATGGTTGTGGAGGAGCCTTAATCATTTCAGTTACATTTTCATTGCAGTGGGTGTTCCTATTTAACAATATTGACATATTAAATACTAGTTTGTTTTTACAAATATAATTTAACATATTAAACATTACATTTTTTTACAATATTATGGAATGGACATTCTTTAATATGTACTTCCACACAGAACTACAGAGACATTTAAAGGTCACATGCAACCAAAAAATCAAACATAATTAAAACACAATTATCACTTATTCATGACATATAATATACATTGCTGGTTATGAAAAAACATATAAACAAAATTATAAGCGTACAATCGCAAATCAAAAGTGCAATATTGTGTACTTGAGTTTACTTCCCAAGAAACGAAGCAGCCGGGATACCGAACCCAGTCAGAGCGGGTGGGTGTGCACTCAAGTGTAACGGCTGGTTCATATGCAGATGCCCTCACGGGTCATTGTGTGTGTGTATATATAGAGATGTTGGGTTTTGTAAATACATGCTCATTTTTTGTGTATAACATTTTGCAATCAACAGACATCATAAACATGTCATGTGTTCAAGTATCACACCTGCCTGTCTGTGTAATTACATAATGTGACAGAGACCGAACTCGGGCCATAAATCAATGCGTTTTGTTTATGGTGTATAGCCTGATTGGTGTTGAGTTCAAATTGCATGTGGTCAGTGATCGCAGTTGTGTATTGAATATTGTCATTAGCAGACAGGCAGGCAGACACACAGGTGTCAATAAAACAAGACATTGAGTTTTGTCTGTGACAACGACATATTTATATCACAGTTAGAAATTCTGTCAATGCTAAATAATGACATTGCTTTTAAGTATAGAACTGAGAAAGTGACTGGGTAAGAAGAACGTGTGGTGAAATAGACAAATGAAATTATATAAACAGTTTATTTACTGTCATAACATATAAAAAGCTCGCGCCTGTGAGATATCAACAAAGCATTAGGAAAATAGCTCACACCAAAGCCTTCACCGAAGTATTCACCGACAGCCCGCTTCCAAGTTTGCGCCTCAATTCACTGGCGCGACGCTATGAGCCCAGCCCAGCTGTTGAAACCCGTTTTCCCCAGAAAAGTCTGGGGAAAATTAGTGAAACGTTTGAACTCCGATTTCGCGCGTTTTTTTTCATCGCGTTATTTTTCATCGCGTTATTTTTCAACTTTATAAGTTGAATTTGCATTTTTGATGATTTGTTTCGGTAAGTCCATACCAAAAGGTATCAGAATCTGCAAAGTTGTGTTTTACGTTGCATGTGACCTTTAAGTTTGTCTGCTGAAGCAATTCTTAGTAAGTCATGATTTCACAGGAGCATGAGTAGCATAATTTTGTAAGAAATACAGTAGAATACTTTTATAACGAACACGGATATAACAAACTGACGGCTATAGCAAACTGTTTTAAAAGTCCTGAATAAACCTCTGTATATTACAGCGGGAGTCCCAGTTAACACTAATTAACGGTGTGAATAACAAACTGAGCAAACTCAATCAGTGTCACTGACAATTAGCGGTGCTCACTTTGAAATTAGTGTATAGCGAACTGATTATTAGCAGAACATAACTCCAGATTCAAAGACAGGTAAACAGTTAGTATTTTGTCAAGTCACCATGGGCAGCAATGCAGGCTTCAATGCGGCGGGGCATACTACTGATCAAAGAAGTTAGAAAGTCGTGGTCGATGCTGTCCCAATATCAGACAACCTCTTTTTCATTTCAGCAATATTTGTCAGATTTTTCTTATTGACACTTTCCTTCATAAGTCCCCAAACATTTTCTATTGGATTTAGGTCAGGGCTATAGCTTGGCCAATCTAATAATGTCAGATTTTGGGTCCGAAACCAGGCCTGTGAATGCTTTGAACGATGTTTTTGGTCGTTGTCCTGCTGGAAAATCATAAAATTTCCATAGAACATGTGAGCAGATGGAAGTAAATGTCCCTCGAGAATATCTGTGTACCGCTCACTGTTCATATTCCCTTCAAATACACAGAGGGGCGTTGCCCCTAAAACAAATATGCCACCCCACACGTTAAATTTCGGACTGTACTTGGGCGCTGATACAAAGGTTTTTCAGTTTGTTTGGCCCAGAATTTCAGTGTATTAGGAAACAGCCACACAGAACTTTCATCTGAGAAAATCACATTTTCCCAGTTAAAATTTCTATGCTGTAAGCACCAGTTCAACCTTCGCTCATTTTGTTCAAGTTTCATGATCGGTGATGGAATTCCTTGACTTTTCTGCCAACCCATTGCATGCAGCTCAGTTCTAATTGTCTCCTTACAGACAGCCACAGTTCATCTATCAATCATATCCAGCCTTAAGTTTTCTAAACTCCTTCGTTTGTTTTTAGAAACAAGAATCCCAAGCTGCCTCCTGTAACCGACATCTGCGTCTCCCTGGTGCTCAATGCCATATCCATTTGCAATATTTTTCAAAACACAATAAACAGTGGACAAAGGGATGCCTGTTCTACTTGAAATCATTTTAACTGATCTGATGTTCTTGTTATAATACTCTAAAATCAACTTCCTCTTCTCTAAATCATCCATACTGAGGATCACTGAAAATGTCGTCTGCTAGCAAGTAAACAAAGGGGGATAACTCTTCACAAACTAATGAAAAAGGATTAACGGAGTTGTTTCTCTTGAATGAAACCAAGCACTTGATACCTGGTCAAGGTTGTTTATACTAGAAATCCAATTAAACATATTCCTAAAATTCTCTATAATTTCTGGTCATACTATAAATGATATGGTATATTTTTAAATTTATTTTGACCTCAAACGGTGCCTCTGTTTCGCTTGATTCTTCCTCTTCATCTTCACCGGAAGACTGCCTTGCAAGATTTTAGATCGGATTGTATTGATACGGTCTAACATCAATTTCAGAGATGACATCTGGAACTTCTTTTACTGCTTCATAATCCATGGACACTGTTAAGTTGTGAGGTGAAATCAAAGAGAAAGCCATCAGCAACAGGCACATATGACATCATGTCACGTGATACCCCTCTGCTCATTAACTGATGGGTGTTTCCGTAATAGGCGGAAATACGAGTACTTTTTTTCTGTTTTTGTTGCTATTTTACAAAAAAAAATTTGAATTCTAATGACGGAATGTGACTTTTAGAATATCCTTTACAATATGTCAAAAGTTTTGTTTTCGTTCGTATTCTCCTTTAAAATCTACAGGCCCCGAATGAAATCTGCATGCCCAGTTTGTTAACGTCAAACCATATAAATCAAAATCACTACACTGTACACAGCATAGGCGGATCCAGGAATTTTCAAGGCGGTGGGGGGTGTTGGGTGTTGAGCCCCTGGGGAACCTCCCTTGGATCTGTCAATGCAGTTTCACACTGTTTCTACATAATCAAGGCGCAGAGAAACGTTTCCATTTGCTGAAAACTGGTGTTGCCATTCCTATGCGTAAAGCCCTGAAATACCAGATAGTGAAGGGAAAGTTTCCAGTTAAAAAACAAAACAACAAATGACAGATAATTTACTAAAGGCCACATGGGCCATCAAATATTTGAAACTGCCGGCCCGATACAATAACAATTGGCGCTGGGCCTCTGGGCAGGCAATTATTTTGAACACTGCAACCCATCCTTCCTCTGGAATCCCAGAATACTTTTCATTCACTGAAGGTACCCTATGAAAAAATTATCAGGGGATACATCCCCTTCAGATAGTGGTAGGGAAGACCTCTAGGAAGTAAGAAAGTTCAACTCCATGGATTTTAAATTTTCCTAATTATAACATATCTGGATTATGGTAGCCTTATTCCTGTGGATACACAGATTACATACAGAAAATCAAAAGAAATTTTAACACCAAGTCATAGCTGTTCCTAGTGGTATACCTAATCTACCCCTGAGTTATCTCCCTTCATCCGGACGTCGCTGTATTGTTCTCCTAGAACTCTTCATAATTTTTCTGTATGGTCCACACGTATGACGTGCAGAGATTCAGTGAGATTTATTTTTCAATCAAGTCTTCATTTCTTCATAAACAGGTCAGTTACATCGCATTCCATATCAACGTTCAATTGCATTACTATTTGATATTCTATTTACGTGTATTTTCTTGATTTTGGTGGGGCGGTGGGGTAGCCTAGTGGTTAAAGTGTTCGCTCGTCATGCCGAAGATCTGGGTTCGATTCCCCACATGGCTACAATGTGTGAAGCCCATTTCTGGTGTTCCCCGCAGTGATATTGCTGGAATATTGCTAAAAAGTGGCATAAAACCATACTCAATCACTCACTTGTTTTTGGACTTTGAAAATTTTCCGCCCTTTTTGACTAGAACGAATATGGCGCATAACATATGTCTCCTATGCCAGAAGTTTATGGTGGATGTCAATCCCCACTCTCTATGTGTCTCATTCTTCAAGGATTGCCGTGCTTTATCAGATAGAGGTCTATTATGTCAGATTACAGTTGGCTTATTATGGAGAAAATTCATTCTATGGCTAGGAAGCGTAAGTATCTTCATCTTCTGAATTCTCGGGAACTAAGAAATCCAACACGGGATCGCCTTCTTTGTCTATTAAATCTGAGCCTAAATCCAGATCTAGGTCAAAATCTAATCATCCACCCTCATGGAATTTAGCCCGGCTATTGAAGCAATTGAGGAGACTTATTTACCCAGCAAAACGGCAGATAGCCGCAATCACTTGGTGGTCGATGGCACGAGCCGGGGGCCAAAGTCATTTCCTGACGGAAACCAGGGGTGCTATGACCGGGAAAGATGGTTACCATGCCCTGGCGTAAGCAGGGGGCTGGTCCCCTTCAGGGGAGAAGCCAAGGGCTTCAGGCGACGGGAACAGAGTCGGTCTAGCTGGCTCTGGGTCCGGGCGTGACCGTGGCTCAGGCTGCACACTCCGCGATCTTGGTTACCGAGAACCAGC